TTAGTTTATCATTCATAAATAATCACCTCTTATTTAAGTTGTGTCTCACCAGTAAACTGAACTGGATGAAATTTTCAAAGCGTCTATAGGGATCCTATTGATTAGCTACCCCAGGAAGTATGCTCATCTCCCCTCTACCTGCTTCCTCTTACGACACATAAAACAAGTATATTGTCAACTAGATTCCAAGTCGTCGTGACCTCATCCAGCAGAGTGAAACGGCCTCACAGGGCTTCCAGGCCTGCAACCATGACACGGGCAGACTACCACCGTTGTCTCTTGTGGAACAGCTGGTGGAACTGCCCACTTTCCAGGTAGCAGCTGAATGCCTAACCACTGCACCACCGGGGCTCTTTACGCCGCATGACAGAGGCTGAAAAGTGACACTTGGCCAACCGGGACTCGCCATCTGCTCACCAATGCTATGTCACGTGCAATCCTCAGGGGAGCCGGGAGGAGACTTTCTTTTCCTTATACACCCGACTCCTACCTTTCATTGATTTTCACCGTGCAAGAACCAGGTTTATGTATCCGTGGAGGGTGATGACACTAGGTCACCAAATGAAGGCTGACTACATCACTACACACTTGCCAAATGACATCATTACATAACTGCCCAACATCTGAGAATCATGGCCTAGTCAAAGTGACCCAGAATTGTAAGCATCACAGCCAGCATTACTTCCTTCTAGCACCTTAGTATCCATTCCTGTTTTTTTTTTTTTAATTTTTAAAATCAATTTATTGGGGCTCATAAAATTCATCACAATACATAGATCAATTGTGTAGAGCACATCTATACATTTGTTGCCCTCATCATTCCCAAAATTCGCTTGCCTCTTGGGTTCCCGGAATCAGCTCATTTTCCTCCCCCCCCACTCCTCCTCCCTTCCTCTGCCCACCTCCCCCATGCACCCTTGATAATTTATAAATTATTATTATATCTTATATTACACTGCCCGGCGTCTCCCTTCACCCACCCCTCTGCTGCCCGTCCCCCAGAGAGGAGGTTATATGTAGCTCCCTGTGATCCATTCCACCTTTCTACACCCTCCTTCCCTCCTGGTATCGCCACTGTCACCCCTGGTCCTGAGGGGTTCATCTGTCCTAGATTCCCTGCGTTTCCAATTCCCATCTGGACCGCTGTGCATCCTCTGGTCTAGTCCTGTTAGAACACACCATTAATGGTCAAGCATAGGATGGGGGATTTCTCACTGTTGTCGTAAATGTGAGATGTCAGATAATGAGAGCTTGCTCAGGGAGGGGAGGTGTGCTTGTACTTCTGACCTCAGTGGGATGGGATGCCTGGAGTAACAGAAATCATTTTACAGCCAGCAGAAACGAAGATAAAGAGAAGACGTGAACATGATCATGATATGGTAGGACAGTTAAATAATCAAAGTCAAGGTCTTGAAGACATTATTGAAATACTAGACCAATTTCATGTTTCCTTTCCTGCAAACTTTAATTATATAAGGTAATGAAATGACTTCCTTTCTTTCTTTGTTGAGTGCCATTTTTACATTTCCCCCAAACTATAAATCTCTATTTCTAAAACTGTTTCATTGGCACATAATTCACAAATCATATAATTCAATAGTTCAATCATATTAAAGAGACTTATAAGGTCTTCATCACAACCAGTTTTACAACATTGTCTTCATTCTTATACTCATCATTATTGGCTCCCCCTTAACCTTCCCTGCCAGACTCCTAAGAAACCATTAATCCAGTTACTGTTTCTATAGATTTGTCTATCCTGAATTTCATATTCAGAAAAGCACTAAAAACTAAAAAACAAAACAAAGCACTAATATCAATAACAAAATGAAACAAAAAAACCAAAAGAAAATAAAGCAGAAATATTAAAAACCAGAAAAAAATTTAAATGGGTCAAAAGGGAAACCAGTAATAAGGTGCTAAATTTGAGCCTAACTACACCTGCACTAATCCACCTTCCAACGTATTCTGCCTAATAGCAAGGCTGTTCATGTCCCTGGTCTATGTTCAAAGGGGGATTTACCAGGGGCTTAATCCATGTGTATTTCTCCTCTACTTGTTTTTGTTTTTAAACTGAAACAGCTTTAAAATGGCTCGAAAGGGAGATCAAATGATAAGCTATTACATTTTGACCTAACTGCATCTGCCACAATCGATTTTACAACACTCTCTGTCTGATAACAAGGCTATTCACATCTCTTATCTGTGGCCAGAGGGCATTCACTGGAGGCATAATCTATGGGTGGACCCTGCAAATGGATTTTGGGCTTCTACTGTCACCCATAGCCTTTTGCACAATGGGTTTCACAATTTAAGCTCTGATACCATTCCCTCCTTTGGATGTGGGTTCTATTATTTACAGTCCTTGGATCACACAGGCTGGTGTGCTTCTTCCATGTGGACGTAGTTGATGCCTCACTTAGAGGGCTGCTTGTTTGAAGACAAGACTTTAGAAGCGGAGATGCTATTCCTTCTGATAGTGGGACACCATCTAGTTTCTTCACCACACTTTGCTTTAGCACCCATATCTTTAGCGATCTCTTCATGAGGGTAAGCACCAGGCAGGGTCATGTCATAAGAACCAATTGTTTTTTAGACTGGGGCTAGAACTAAATGCAAGCCCCAAACCCATTCATATATCAATGATTTATATGTGTCTCTGGTTCATCTTAGAGATGGCTGACTGACTTGCTTGCCTCAGTCACAGTTAGTATTTTCGATTTGTTTTGTTACTTGCAAGCAATAGCAGCTACCAGTTTTGAACAGACAAATCTACATTTATCTAAAGACAAGGTCAGCTCTCTGTCAAAAACCATGGTCTGAAGTTACTCCCATTAGAGCTATCTACAGGGGGGCCTGGTGGCACAATGGTCAAGCACTCGGCTGTGAATTGAAAGGTTAATGGCTTGAAGTCACAGGAGAAAAGGGCTGGCCATCTGCTCCCATAAATATTGAACCCCCAAATCAAATTCAGGAGACGTGCCCCTGTGGACTTCCGAGACCCATCTTTCTCCAGAGGCACTCTAGTGGGTTCAATCTGCTGACCTTGTCATTAGTAGTTCAATGTGCAATCTACTAACTCCCCCCAGGGCTCCATCCCATAAAGATTACAGCTGTGGACAGCCAGGGGGCAGCTGTTTGTCACAAGGGATTGCGGTGAGGTGGAACGGACTTCATGGCACATAGCTGCAGCAAGCTAGAGAAGCGCTGTTGAACAGATGGTGGAAGTGCTCATATAAATCACTGGTTCCCAGACATACTTGGCCTACTGTCTCTTTGCAAAAACAAAACAAATCTATATTACCCAGTGCCCTCTGGTAATTGAAAACTTTTGTAAGATAGCCTATAATCCAGGATCAAGTATAGGTATCTGCTTTTCCAGCCCTCCGGATTCTTCCAGCACCCTGGGGTGTAAGGAGGGTGGTGTTGGGACACTATCACTCCCTTTGGGAAACACTGATAATACACAATATAAAATATGTGGCCACTGGAAATGTGGCTAGTGTGATTGAGGAACAGAATTTTACATTTTATTGAATTTTATCAGATTTCTCTTTTAATAGCCTCATGTGCCTAATGACGTTCATAATGAGCCAAAGAGCTCTAAAGCCTTGCTGGTCGATTTAAAATGCTTACATTTACTGTATAATCCTTGTAAAATATACAGCGCCTCGCTACATATATGTTATTTTACAGGCACAAGAACACGTCATTACAGAAGAATGACGATTCAGCAGATTTTACCTAGCGTCCGCCGAGTCTGATGGCTGTTAAAACAATATTTAACTTGCTTATTAGCTCAGTACCGGGTGTAGAGACCAACTTATGTATTTTACTTTGACAACTATAACAAAGGATCTCTTTTTGGAATGATAATCTTATTCAGACTACACTCCTTCAACTGTCATGGTGTGCTGGTCTCATTAAAGTATGGGATACAGCAATTCTCTGAGATCCACTGTGTATTACAGCGTGCAGACAGCGGGGTACCCCGGAAACTGGCAGCACGTGTACCCGCATGGCACAGCTAGATACTCTCGCGGAAAGACAGGATCGGTGGACAGCGGAGATGCCAGAGATCTGAGAGGGCTGTCACATCCCTGATCATGGTACTTGGTATTATCGACTACACCCACAGGAGTTTGGGAGCAATGATTTCCTCGTGTCTTGGTTTCTAGCACAGAACGAACTGATCAGCTTGTGTACATCCACAGCTATTGGTAGAGCCTGGGGGACACTGCATTCTGCAGGTGTCCGAGGTGGCCCAGAGCTGGGAAAATGATCAGCTCTTTAATCTCTTGACAAGGATCACAGGCATAGCCGGCTCCCACCTCACCCAGCTACCTCCCAACTGCTGGACACACGATAGCAATGCCCCCTGTGCTGGGAACTTGACCGTTTCAGTCTGGGCTTCTGTAGCATTTTAAGACAGAGCAGAGGAGCCAAATTTGTTTCAGTCAGGATGATGTACCTACAGCTTGAGCCCTAATGGAACTGGCGAGCAACATGGGTTGCAGAGTATGGCAAACTAGATTCGCTTACTCTATGTGGTTCTCTGTTCTAAAGATACACGACTGAAACAACATTTAATTCAAGGGAGTAATCACCTCGCATTTCTAACCAGCACGTGTTTACAACAGATGCTTCCACAGACAGTTACAGAATTGGATTGATTCAAAGTTGATATCCTTCTCCGAGTGAAGTTATGTATACTCACTCTCCTTGTATTTGACGCTGGCTCGTGTTCATGTCTCATCCATTTGCATTCGTTCTTGGGCCTATTGGTGACACTTGAAAGAACTCATGTTTTATGCAAGCTGCCTGACTCACTTATTTCATGGTCGCTTTCAGCATGCAAGACCTTGGTCGAAACCACGTTAAGATGCAGGCTCTTACGAGAGAGACATATGCAACCTGCTTTCCAAGAAGACAGCCGGTTTGCAAGGGGGCATGCAGAAGGTGGCTCACAGTTAGAGATAAATCATGACATGCGCCTTTACCTATGACGTGGCTCTGACGTGTGGACTCTTCTAATGTGGCTTCTTCCACTGTGGTCTCTTCCTCCTCTTGCGGGTTTCCGCTGGCTTCTTTTCCCTGCGGCAACACGAAAACACTGGAAGTTCTCATCGACTATATCACACAGATCTTTTGGCAGCCCTCAGAGTGGGGGTGTCTTCGACAACAGTGCTTGTGTGTAACACCACTCCTCTTTGCCCGCCCCGCGCAGTGCATCGCCTGGCTTTATGACAAGTTATAGTTAATCAGAGCATACTTTCAGAAGTATCCACCTGGCTCTGAAAGTAAGGATTTGGAGGGGACCGGGTGCTGCCTGAGATGTCTGTGCTAACGACCGACCGTGGTTTTTAACATCGAGTAAGTCAGTAACACATAGCTGCTTTGAACCTGAAAGTGAAAGGAAGCATATTGCCTCCATAACCAGTGACTTGGCCACAAGGGCAAGGCCATACGGGCAGACCTCCTGGCCTAAGGGTTCGTCTTCTTTCCAGAATGAAGCTCGAGGAGACTGTGAATGGGACGCAGGGAGCTACTGCGATGGGCCCTGTATCGGGACTCTCCAGCTCAAATGTGCCCCTCTCTATTTCAGCTTATTATACGCCGCCGTTTGATGCGCATGAATCGAATGACACTTGAGAGAAAACCGAAGGAAATCTTGGGATAGTTTACAGAGGAGAACCGTGAGGTCCAGCACTTCAAGGTAAGTACGCATGTAAAAGTAAATTAAAAAAAAATATTGCCACAAAAATCACTGAAACCTTTATGAAACACAAATGCCCAAATGTGAAGCTACTGTTTTTGATTTTTAGTCTCAGGGGGAAATATCTCCATCTAGGTCTATACCTTTCTGAAGGTGGTACTTCCATTTCTCAAACCCTGCCCTCAAGAATTCTGCAGGTTTTAGTTTACAGATCAAGAGTGAGATTTGGGCATCTGTGAGGGACACAAACTGTATTCTACAGAAATGTTCTTTGAGTTTGAGGACAAAGATCATTTGAAGGGGAACTATTAGTGCTGTCAGGTTGATGGGGGAAGGTTTCCCAAAAAGGAAATTCTCATAGGGCAGCCCTTTGTAGCCTTGAAGAATGTGCAGGTGCATTGTCTTGACTGGAGGTAAGAAATTCTTGGCTTTCCACCCACCCTCACCAAAGCTCCTGTGACTGTCCTGTGTCCTTGGGAAGATCTATAAGACACTGTCGAGAGCCCACAAAACACCCATCCTACCCTTCTGGGATGATACGTCCACCTTGAATTTAAGTAAGCCGATAGACTCCCTTGGAGGATACTGTTTGGATTGGACCTGCCTTGGGAAGACCCTCTACTGAGATGAAGACAAATGTAACACTGAAAGAACTTTCTACAGCCTTCTTGTGATTACAGAGCTATATTTTGCATGGTATGTGAAGTATATGTCAATAAAACTATTAAAAAAACCCAGATACATTTTTACACATTCTGTTTGTCATTAAATCCTTGCATAGATCACCAGTTGCAATACTTTCTGATTCACTCCTATAGTAAGTGGCAAAGATGGCATGAAAATCCAGGTCTCCTATTTCTCAATCCGGCAGCAGCAGCAGCAGTAATGGCATTAACAACACCAGTCATAATAAAAGCAGCCAGCAGTTAAATGTCCACCATGGATGGCAATGCCGGTGTGCTAACTACTGATGGCACAGTGCCCTACATTACAGTAACATGCAAGCCATCAGCGTACTTACAAACTGACACACAAAGACAGGCACTATGCAGGCTATGAATGAGTTCATCACCCTCACCACAATCCTGTGAGCTGGTGGTGTAATTAGGGACCCTGAGTCAGTGCCCACTCATCGTGACCCCACATATGTCTGGCAGAGCCAAACATTGCCTGGTCCGGCACCAGGCACACCGCTGTTCTGGGTTTGAGCTCACTGTGTAGTCTCACAGTGTCAATCCTTCTTGTAGAGGGGCTTCCTCGTTTCCCCTGCCCTCTACTTTACCAAACATCATTTCTGTCCCAGGGACTGGGTTTTCCTGACAACATGCCCAAAGTATAGGAGATGACATCTAGCCACCCGTGCTTCTAAGGAGCATCCTAGCTGTACCACTTCCTGGATGGATTTGCTCGCTCTGTTGGCAGTTCATGATACCCCCAGTCATCTTCCCCAGCACCATAATTCAAACGCATCAATTCCTCTTTGGCCGTCCTTACTCAATGTCCAATTTTCACACAAGGCAAGTGAAATACCATGGCTTGGGGCAGGTGCAACCCATCCTCCAGGTAGTAGCTTTGTTTTCCAATGCTTTAAAACAGTCTTGTGCAGCACATTTACCCAATGCAATGTGCTGTTTGGTTGTCTGACGGCTGTTTGCATGGGCATTGATTGCGGATCCAAGCAGGATGGTATCCTTGACAACTTCCATCTTTTCTCCATTTCTTTATCATGTTACTTTTGGGTCCAGTTGTGAGAATTTTTGTTTTATTGACATTGAGTTGTAATCCATATGGAAGGTTGTGAGCCTTGATCTTTATCAGTAAGTGCTGCGAGTCCTCCTCACTTTCAGCAAGTAATGTTCTGTCATCTGCATATGGAAGGTTATTAATAAGCCTTCCTCCAAGCATGATGCTCTGTAGGTATGAAAAGAGCATGCACCCTGATACACACCTTTCTTGGTTTTGAACCAGGTAGTATTCTCATGTTCTGTGTGTACAACTGCCTCTTGACCCATGTACACCTTCCTAATGAAAATATTTTTGTGTTCTGGAATTCCCATTCTTCTCAGGGCTACCTACGGTTTGTTAGCATCCCTACAGATTAATGCCTTTGCATACTCAACAAAATACAAGTAAACATCTTTCTGGTATTCTTTGTTTCCGGCCAACGGCCATCTGACATCAGTAAGGATATCCCTGGTTCCATGGCCTCTTCTGAATCCGGCCTGAATTTCCAGCAGCTTCCTCTTCAAGTACTGCTGCAATTGTTGTTGGATGACCTTCAGCGAAATCTTATTTATCTGTGATATCAATGATACTGTTCTATCACTTGTGCCTGCTTTGGGGTCACCTTTCTTTGGAATAGGTACAGACATGGATCTCTTCCAGTCAGTTCACCAGGAATCTATGTTCCAATTTCCTTGACTGAGTGCTTCCAGTGCTTCATCAGCTTTTTGACACCTTTCAATCGGTATTCCTCAATTCCTGGAGCCTTGTGTTCAGCCAATGTCTTCAGTGCAACTAGGAGTCCTTCCTTCAGCACCATTGGGTCTGGCTCATATGCTACTTCCTGAAATTGTGGCCTGTCTACGAGTATTTAGTACCGTGACTCTGTATATTCTTTCCTTATTCTTTTGATGCTTCTTGTCTCATTCAATATTTTACCCATATCACCTTTAATATTTGAACTCGAATCTTTGATTTTTTCCCTACAATTGTTTTAGTTTAAGATATGCTTAGAGTGTTTGTTCTATCCGGGCTTCTAACTCTAGCCTTTGAAATTTCATTATAATACTTCACTTTGTCATTTCCAAAAGCCCTTTGAAATGATCCGTTCAGCTCTTTAACAGCATCATCTCTTCCGTTTGCTTTAGCTACTCTGTGATTAAGAGCAAGTTTCAGTGTCTTCTATTGGTCTTTTACGCATTGGACTAATACGCATTGGTCTTTTCTTTCCTGCCTTTCTTTTTAATGACCTTTTGCTTTCTGCATGGTTCTCAATGACATCCCACAGCTCATTAGGTCTTCTGTCATTAGCGTTCACTGCAGCACATCTGTTCTTGAAAGGTTCTTGAAATTCAGGCGGGATAGACTCAAGGTCATGCTGGCTCTCTCGTGGACTTGTGTTCATTTTCCTCAGCTTCAACCTGAACTACTTAGGAGCGATTGATGGTGTGTTCCAGAGGCAGCCCCTGGCCTTGGGTTAGCGGTTGATAGTCTCTGGGCACTAGTATCACCATTATCTCCAGGTTAGAGATGAAGACTTTGAGGGAACAGAGAAGGTCAGCGATTGTCTAACAGCCAGGAGCCTGTTGTTGCTGTGGGTTCAGCACTGGGCTGCTAACTGCAAACCTAGCAGTCTCTGCTGGGGAGAAACATAAGGCTCTCTGTGCCCAGGAAGATGTATAGTCTTAGCACCTCTAGGGTTCTAGCCTCTCTCTCTATTTACAGCCTTGGAAACCCAGCTTTGATCTCTAGGGTGACTATGAGTTGGAATTGACTCGATGGCAGTGGGGATATCCTATTTGCTATGAGTTGAAATCTACCCGATGGCAGTGGTTTTGATATTTTGGGTTTATTACTTTTATCATCCATTATGCCGCCATTCAATTGACTTCATTGTCACGACAGCTGTGGACCTCATCAGAATGACTGGGAATAGCTGTTTGAAAATATAGTCCAGCCAGTTTGGGCATCCAATGAGAATCATGGTCACTGTGTAACACAGCAGGCATTCTGGGTAGGCACACGCAAAGAAAGGGCATCCGTGGATTTGCTCTGGTGCTTGGACGGAATGTTAAGAAACCACTGTTTTACACTCCCAAAGCCACACACAGCTGCATGCTGACCTTGAGCTCGATTGCCCTTTCTACGCTTTACCTCCAATTTTTCTTATTTAATGCATTGTCAGAGTGTAAGTGGTACTTAATGTGTACCACGCTGAAAGCCCGAGGATGGCGAACACAAGAGGGATTGGAACTGGCTACCTCAGCTCTCAACGGAGAAAGGAAGGATTGCCTCTTCGCAGTTCAGGCTTCATGATGTTCTTTCTCCATTAGCTCTTGCTCTGTGGGCAATTTCTGGCAATCTCCTCTCTCCACAGGAAGAACGTTCAGGAATGGGGGAATGAGTCTTTATCAACCAAGGCTGTTTCTAGCAGGACACGTTCAGGGAGGGGGGTGAGGAAAAGTCGGATGCGCATGAGCAGGGCTACTTCTCTGCCTTCCGGGCTCATCAAGCCCAGGGAATGGTGTGAGACAGGATGAAAAACCGGAGACACCCGACACCTTCATTTCCATTAATAGCCAAGTGGGAGCCTTCTATCCTCATGTACAGAAACAGCCACTAAATCTGTATTTCCAGATCTCCGTGAAATATGTTC